AGACAGCAATTGCTCTGTGGGGAAGGGGAAATGGGCTCAGTTGTTTCCAGTACCATTGTAGGCTGCTACAATGGGGGTCAATATGCTGACTCTGACTCTCCTTGCTGGAATATAGTTAAAGGGTGATTTTTTTCTCTCTTTTTTCTTTTAATGCCTAGAACAATTTTTTTTCCCCTTACTATTATAAAGTGAGGATTTGGATTGCCAAAGAGGGTTTCTGTTTAAAAGATGTAAAACACCCTGCCCTACATTATCACTTTGGCTTTGCCACATCTGCCAAGAAGCAAACGTGATAATGGGTGAAGAGAAAAGCCACACTAAAGAGATTGCTTCTGGAGTTGATGCAGGTTAACCCCATGGTTTGCTCCTGAGACTTACAGAGATACCCATGGTTTGTGAGAAGCCATTGAGTGTTTGCTCTTCCGTTAACCGCAGAGTCTTACAGACTTTCCCACCTCAGCTTTTGGAGGCGAGGTGTCTGCTGATTTTCGTTGTTTATGTCACAGGCTGGTTTCTGTAAACTGGTTATTTTTATTTCTAATATGTCTCTGTACATGGGGGCTCTTTCATTGTTGGTCTGGGTGCAGACTGAGTCCTGACAGCCTGCATCTCCTGGAACAAGGTTGACTTTCTTCTCTTCTAAGTGAGCCCTGTATGACTGCTCAGATTTAGGCTTGTTGGGCAATGTTTACCCTGGCTTCTCTTTCCTGGGTACTCCATTGCTCATTACTGTTCAAATTCTAGCAAATAAATACATGATTTTTGCTATGGCAACAAGAATCTGGTGGCTGAACAGCACAATATTCCACGAAAAGCCTGCCTTATTCTTCCCAGTGTGACTCTGATTGCTGGGCACAGTATTAATATAGAGATATATGAGTTTGGGTTTGACCCTGGTTTTGTGACACAGTTCCAGATGAAGTATTCAGCTGGGCAAATAGTGACAAATCCCTGCAAACATCCACAGCTGAAGGGTGCAGAATTCTTCCTTTCCACAACTGGCAGCTGCTGCTGAGGCAGAAATGGGGGAACCGCTGCTGAGACAAGATGAGCAGAGTTCTCTGGCGGGGCTCGAGTGTGCTTGGCTCTTCTGGGATATGTTTTTCTTCTGAAGAAAATGACCCCTGTCGCCTTCTGGGTTTCCATAAAAGTCTAGATGGTCTGGCAAGGGGCTGCTGGCTGTGCAAACCTATTGTCTGTGCCATTACTGGGCTCTTGATTTTTCTTTTTAGATGGTTCCTGGGACGGAATCTGCCTGTGTTTCTTGTGTGCAGTGCTCAGTTCTGCTCATTAGCCGCTCAGGGGGTTTCTTAATGCAGCTATGCTGACCCATGTTGCCTGAATAAGTTGCCCTTCATATTCTGTTGGATCAAGCAGAGCTGCTTTGTGCTTCCCTTGAAACCACCTCATGCTTGGGGAGGGGAGCTTGCAGGGGAAACCCAGGTGATGCCACGGCAGGTTTATCTCTTTGAGTTTTGGGGCTCTTGCTCTATATGGGCAAGGTCGACGGAGTGCCCCGGGGGGGTGTGCAGGTGCGGGGAAGGTGGCCGCTCGTGCAGAGCCTGTTTGCCGGAGTTCAACCCTGTGCCAGTGCCTGGTTGTTCCTCTGGTGTTTGCTTTGCCTGGGTGCGTTGGAGTGCTTTATTGCAGAGCACAGTTGTTTTGCAGGGCTCTTCCTGCTTCTTGGTAGCAGCGCACTGGGTGTGGGGCAGTGGGACGCTACCAAAGAGAAATCCAACACAGTTTTAGGAGGGGGGGGCCTTGTGCCGGGGTGCACTCAGGCCAAGCAAGACAGCTTGGTGTCAGCCTTCGCGTAGGCTGCACTGGCCCAGCTGGAGGTGTTGCTGAAGCAGCAAATTATCTTGTTATGATCTCTCCCCCAGGCTGGGGCCCTGGGTGTGTGGGGCTGGTACTGCTGTTAATAATTGCTCTTTCTGAATAGCTTCAACATTGACTCCTACAGCGTTGTGGCCTCTCTGCAGCAGGTACCCGAGAGACCCTGGTGGCAGAGCGTTCCGCAGGACACCCAGCCTGACTCCAGGGAGCGAGCATGGCCCGAGTTGAATTGGCTGTGGGCAAGCGGGAGCTGCTTTAGTTCAGGGATTAGGCTGAGCTGTTGGTGTGTTGCCTCTGGGCACTGCATGAGGGTTGACTCCTGGTCATTTCTGCTGCTTTCTACTCTTTGGTTTTACTCCCTGGTGGGGCTGTTTTCTCCTCCTGCACTACATGCAGCTTTGGTCCAAATTGGACTCAAAGTAGTTTTTCTTAGAGATTTCCTCCTGATAGCAGAAAACCAGGAAAACTTAGTTCCATCTCCCAAACTTAAATTCTAAAAGCAAGGCACATCTCTCCTGTCCCCTTTATTTTCCATGTTTAGTCAAGTACTTCTTGCCCTTCAGTGCAGTTGCCAGCACTGGTAAGCGGCCCGCGTGCAGTGTCTGGTTCTGGGATAGCTTCTGAGTTTCCAGAAGCCCTGGTCACCTCCACCCTTGTGGCCTTTGTGCCTGGCAGCGTGGCTCGTCCCCGCAGTACAGACGCCACATTGTGAGCAGTCACTGCCCGCTCTGCTGCCTGGCTCGGATCAGGGAGCATCTAGGTCAGTAGCAGGGGTGAGAAATTCAGGGAACAGCAACTGGGATGCTCTGATCTTCAGGGCCATTTTATTCTAACCCCTTTTCTCTGAAATATAATCACTCCTCTCCTCATGTGTTTTCTGGAGAAGGTCAGAGGGCGTTGGCCAGGGCTGGGGCAGGGAATGGGGAAAGGCAGCTGGTTGCCCCCTCTGCTATTTCCATCCTGCCTTCTGGGAGCATGGGGAAGGGAGCCAGCCTGTGTCCGAGGTACATCTCGGACTCAGGCAGAGTAGCACACAGCTCTGACGTGTGTATTTGCAGCGCAGAGGAGGCGTTAGGTACTCACTCTGTTACCCAGATTTGATTTAAGCTCCCCTCATTGCTTTTCTGAAAATCAGCAATGAAATGCTTACTGTCTTGCCTTAAAAAGCCTTATCACCCACATAGCTCCACCATATCTGTCTGTGGGCAGTGCAGGATAACACAGTAGCAGGCTGGCTCCAGCTCACTGCTGGTTTGCAGGCTCTGGCCCCTGTGCAGCTGTAGGTTCGGCTTCAGCAGACCCTGTTGGCAGCAGCAGCATCGCACCAGGGCTCCGTGTGCAGGAGATGCAGAGAGGCGGCTGCTGCTGTTGCAAGAAATACATGCATCTGGGCAGCACGTGTGGTTGCTTGATAGCTGCTTTGGGGCCACGTGCTGTTTCTCAGCCTGTGGGGTATTTTGTTTATGAGGGAAACTGCAAATATGGCACATGGGGCAAATGTGCTGTGCTTTCTTCTTGCAAGTTATTACACAGCATCAGAAGAGCTCTCCTGAACCACCCAGCTCCTACTGCCTGTCACAAGCAACCACGTCCTTTTAATTCTGTTCATAACCCTATTAGCTCAATTTTAATTGTAGTTAGAAGTAAAGGGATCACAACACCCTCTTAGGCAGCTGCTCCTGAACCTTGATCCGCATTGGCTAGATACTTCCCTACTTTTGGCATAAATTTATTCCTGGCAAGCTTATCCTCCTTGTTTGTCTGTTGTATGCTGGCATCAGCAGTTCTTCTCTGCTCCTTGGTGTTTATTTTCTTGGTGTACTTACAAAGAGCTGTTATGCTTTTTCTCAACCTTCATTTTTGCTAGTGTGAGCAGGCTGAATCTCCTCTCCACCTGTTGAGATGACTTGTAACCAGATCTTCTAAGCAGAATGGTAGATAATGATTAGGACATGTAAGGCTGCAGGGGAACAATCCCTTCCCTCAGCTTTTCCTTTCAACTTGGAAGAGGACATCTGGAGTTTCTGTATCTGGATTTGGGTGTCCTGCTGCAGGATGGATGCAGAAAAACTGGAGCAAGTCCAGCAGAGGCTACCAAAGTGCTCCTGGGGCTGGAAAAAATGGCATATGAGGAGAAGCTGAGGGGGCTGGTTTGTTCAGCCTACAGGAGAGAAGGGGGAAGTCCAATTGCTGCCTTCTACTACCTGCTGGGTGTTACAGGGAGGATGGAGCCAGGCAGTCCTTATTTCCAGTGGAAGTGCCTTGCTTTATTCCTGGTTTATTTAAGCAGCATCCTAATGGTAGTCACAGTCTTGTAGCCAATCTAAAATGTTCTTTCTCAGTTATTCACAGGTGCTGAACTTCTCCTAGAGCAAGGGTCGGTCTTAAACATCATCCCATTTCTAGTGTTCTTGCTCTCCAGTTTTCTTCATGACCCATAAAATTCTGGTTTTCCCTTGATGAACTCCCATGTTTGAGTCATCTTAATTTCTCAGTCTTGCCGTTATTGTGCAAAAGTCATTAGTGAGAATATTAAATAAAATTGGTTTCAAAACAGAACCTTTAAAGGGCCTCCCACTTGTCCAGTATTTTCCCCCTCTACTACCACCTGTTAATGTCTTTCCTTTAGCTGCTTCTATCTCCTCATGTTTGGTATTAAGCCCTGTTTTTAACCTAGCTTAAATAGCTTTTTGCCGGAATGTCCTCCCAAAAATGTAGTCCTGATCACTGATGTTTCTGTTGTCTAGAGCATGGGTACACAAACGAGTTGGCTGGCATTAGCAATGTTGCCTTTTCAACATATGGATGCTTTCCTTTCCTCCTTGGCAACACTAATCCCTCGAGGGACACGCCAGCAGCTCCTCCTGGCTGCTGCACATCAGTGTTAGGTGATGGCAAATTCTGTGCCAGGGCAAAAAGCCAGAGGTACTCTGGACCTCTCAGCCACCTGCCTCCAATCCGTTTGTTTGGCTATCTGCCTTTGTGGTTTCTCTCAGTGAGGTAAGAGATTTGGCAAGGCACGTGGGGAAAGGTGGGGGGATATGCAATGGCTCCTTTACACTAGGGTGAAGGCCTGGTGTGGGAGGTGGCCTTTGTCAGAGCATGTGTTGGGATCTATGGTTTCTTGTGCTGTTTTCTAATAATTCTCCTTTGCTGTTGTCTAGATGAAGATCTCTTTCAATGAGACAAGTTTGCAGACTACGTTTGAGTACCCATCAGAGAGCTCACTGGCAGAAGAGGAGGAGGAAGAGGAAGGACATGCTTCTGAAACAGAGGAGGACAAATCTCGCACCTTTTACATTCCACGCCCAAATAGCACTTTGCATCCCAATACACCTAACTCAGGTGAGCGAGGCACTGTATTGGCACTGTGGGGTTACTGGTGGTACCTGATAGCGTCCATGTTTCGTACAGACCCTTATGGGGCTCCACACAGGTAGAAATGCTAATGGAGATGACTTCTGCCAGCTGATGGCAGAATCGGAGCTTAGTGGGGACAGGGCTTGAGCTAGAACAAGGAACTGCAGATGGGCAGCTTCCATGCTGTCCCTGCCAGCATCCTGATCCCACTTCCTTTTGGGGTGGTGAGAAATATTTACGTCAGCTTTGTCCTTCCAGCAGATTTGTCCAGCTATACCCCAAAGCACTCTGTGAAGTTCAGTGAGTGGCAGGAGCAGAAGTATGAGGAGATGCCTGCTGCAGAGGGACCCCTCCTGAAGGAAGCTGATTCCCATGGGAACCAAGTCATGGTGAGACTTTAAATAAGCAAATCTTGGCTTTGTCCTGCTGTGCTCTTATCTGGTGCTCGGGTTGGTCTGGACAGTGGATGGGACAGGATGTGGCTTCCACTGAACGCCTGTGTTTGTGTTTGCTGCCCAGGGAGGCGTGCCACCACTCACAAAGGGATCAACACAAGGTCCCACTGCCACTAGCAGACCTGACTCTCCCTGTAAAGGAGACTCCCTGTAAATGTGTAAAGGAGACTTAAGGCAGCTGGCACACTTTGTACTCCAGGGCATGTTTGGAGGGGGCAATTAAATGTGCTCGTTAGCCCTGGGCAAGGTGCCAATGCAGCCTTCACCGTCTAAAGGTGTGGGTACTCATTTGCTTTGGATTTGATGACACTTCCATGTCAACTCTGCTTTCTCCACAGCTCACCCCAGCAGAGAAGGGCGGACTCTCCGATTTCAGCAGCGAGCCTGCTCTGTATTTTTGATTGCTTCATCTTCTAGCCTGCAGCAGCGGCTGCTGGTCAAAACGTGTCAGTGCACCTTCCGAATGTCCATGCAAGCACCACGGAAATGAGCTTCTGGGTCCCTCCCTCACCACAGTTTTCGTTGGAGCCTGATGCCAAGGGTGGGCTAGATGCTATCGGGCATCTTTGGAGAATATTTGCACTGGATTGTGGGACCTAACTACTACTTTTAGGGCGTATGATTTATTTTACCTGTGGCCTTGCGTATTCCTTGTTCAAGATCAGCTGCCAATAAGGCAAGCATCTTAAGAACAGATCTGTAATCCCGGGATGGATGTAGATTCTCTCAGTGCTTATCTGAGTCCACACATCCAGGCACTGTATGGGGCCTGGGCAGCTTTTGTAACACTTGTCCCATCAGAGGCCCCAGTGAAGAGCGGTTCTGGAGTTGGAGCACTGGGAGTATCTGGGCAGTTAGCTGGATTCACAGAAGTGGTTGTGATTTGACAGCTAGGTTGGGTGTCAGTTCTCAGCACGTTTCTGGGTGTAGCTTCACTGAACCGTCGTGGAATTAATGTGCCAGTTATGTTCTTGTGAAAGAAGCTGAACACAGTGTGAGGGATGGGAAGGGGAATAAATGCTTGTGTCATTTTTGCACTGGTCTGTAAAGAAGTGTCCAGACTGGCTTGAGCCTCTTAAAGATTCCCAAACATTGGCCATAGCTTTGATCTGTCCATACCCAACTCTGGGGTCCAGTCTCTCATAACTGCTAATTGTGCTTCATTTTGCCAGTTCCTCTTGTTGCTTTGTTCTAGCATCTAATGGGGCCAGGCCCAAGATTTATCTGTCTTGGTTGGCAGGAAGGCTTCTTTCTAGCCATGCTTGCCCTGCTCCTCTAATGCAAAGCACAGGAGGGCAATTTCACTCCTTTCTTCTGCAGAACTTGAACAAGGAATATGGTATTTTTTCTAGGATTTTTTTATAGTTCTATTGTAATTGTTTAATGCAGCCAATATGCAAAGGAATCTGCTAGACTCTTCCATTTTAAGTTTTCTACTACTGTAAACTCAGGGTCAAAATTGCACTCTGGAAAAGATGGAATACTGCTGCTAATGTGATTTGTACTTCTGGGATTAAAAGAGATGTGGTTGGAATAGATACAGCCTCTTTGGGCTTTATGAAATGAGTGGTAGCCCAGTGTGTGGCTCTATCCAAAGGAACAGGCTGGTATCTTTGATTAAATGTGATACTTTTACTGGTTTGTCTGTTATATATAGATGATGAATGTCTAGTCAAGTTGACACTGGTCTATGAACTGAAAATGCTCTGCATACCTTGCACTTGTTTTGGTGTACACTGTAGCAGCAGGAGGAAGGTTGTTCTGCTGAAAAATATGGTCAGGACTAAATGTTAGGACATACCTTCTTCTAGTCCTCATCTTCTGCCCTGGGTGCCTAAATATTTCTGGAAAGATAATGCAAAAAAAACCAAACCCCATGCTCAGCAGCTTGTTAGATGTTGGCTGGAGAGGCCACAAAGGAAGACTTTCCACCTCCTTGTACATCTAAGGCTTGTCCTTTTCAAGCTAACTTGAGATCTTCTCCCTGTGTGACCTCCCAGGAGCAGTGTGTGGCTGGCAGTACATCTGCCTATGACGTGACAGAAGTACAGTGGAAAGAGCAGTGAATCCCATGTGCTGAGGCTTCTCCCATTAATTAAATACTTCAGGACAAGATGCTGAGACTGGGGTAGAATGATGAAAAATGCAGGCCTGCTAGTAACGGCTAGATTTAAGGGATGAGTAAGTTATCAGATATGTGGAGTTAAACACAACTGTGCACACAGCCAAAGGAGATCAGGGACTTTTGAAGAAAAGGTGATGCACAGGTTTTCTAGCAGAAAAGGTCTCAGTGAGCATGTTGCACTGTGGAAAAGCTTAGGCCAGTTTAAGGCAGCTCTATCTCTAGATTTGCAACTTAAAAAAACTGCAGGTGGTGAAGCAAAAGCTGCTTGCAATTAAACTTAGGGACAAAGTGTCTGAACTAGTCCTGACTTTGTTCTGCTGTGGATCAGTGAGGAATGCTAAAGCCAACAATATCCTGCAGGTTGTTCCACTGACTTCAGCCAGCTGAAATGCTGCTCTGGTATTCTGCGTGCTGTTCTCAGTGAATTAGCTCTGTGCCTACAACTTAGGACAGGCTCAGTGGAGGTGTGGGAGTGCAGAGTGTGCTTCTCAAGAGGAGCAGGTGGTGCCCTGGTGTACTGCTGACTTTTTCCAGTTTGCCTGCTCTACCTTGTAGCTGTGATTTGCACCTCCCTGAGTGCTGCCTTTGTACTTCCTAGCTTTGTACTCTTAATACCTGTCTGTACCGGATGAACTCTTAGCTTGCTTTTGGCAGAGGAAGGTGAAAGCTGTTTCGAGGGCAGAAGTATTACCTGGTAAGTCATCTCCTGGGATATGCTTCCATATCACTGTGCTCAAAATAAAGGTGGTGGTTTTTTTTTTTTTTTGTAGATGTCTACCCTAATCTCTAGCATTTGAGGATTAACTTTAGTAGACCTCTAATACCAAAGTGCATCTGAAAGGAAAATTTACTTTTGCAAGACAAAGACTTTTATTAAATGCAGCATCCTTGTACCAGAACAGCAGCTGTCCCAGACCAACAGGACTTTCCAGGTTGAATAACAAGTTTAGGAATGCTTTTGTCCATGTGCTTGTTTTTCTTTCTCCTTTGAAGTACTTTGTGGCTCACTGGCTTTACCAGCATTCCCAATTTCTCCCTTCAGGACATCTAGCAATGTCTGAGAACTCTCCAGTATCTGGGAAATAAATAAAAATAGCTTATTTTTACATAAACTAACTGTTTCTCTTACGAGTTCCCTTCAAATTCAGCTGATCTACCTTGCAGCAAGAGGGGTTCTCCAGCGCTTACAATATCTAATTCTTGGTGATGTATTGTCCTATCTCACTGCAGGAATATCTGTGGAGGAATTTCTCTGGTTCGTGCCCATATTCTGAATACGAAACAGCTTAACCAATTTATCTGTCTTGGAGCACGAGGCGGAGAACTTCCTGAAGCAGGCTGTGGGGTGAACTTTTGGGTTGTGGGGTTTTGTTTGTTTGGTTTTTGTCTGTTTTTTTTTAAGGGAGATGTTGATACCTGGGCTTTTTAGATCAGTATTAAATTGTGCTCAGCTGACCCAGTTTCAACTGTCTTCCACTGTTAAAACTGCATGCTTTAGGTTTCTTGCTCCAAGACTAATTCAACTCCACAATGACCTTAAGTCAGACTAAATCTTTCCTCTTATTCATTTTCTCCCATTTTTAGCTTATATTGTATGTAACATAACATTCCCTTTTATTATGCTCTAGGAAGCAAGACTACAACAAGTTTAGGAGATCTTGCTGCCTGTCCATCTTGCCATTTTAAACTTTTAACATGATGGACAATTGCAACAATATGATGGCAGGGTTGTAGTCCCAAAGATCATTTATGTTCCTGTGAACCTGTGGAAATCACTAAGTGGTCAGAGAAGAGATGAAGGTAGGTGCCCTGCAGGATGAGACACCGGTAGAACATGTTGGTGGGATCTTGCCGTCTTGTCTGTGGAAGAAGGTGGAGTCCTGCAACTGTCACGGGCTGGGGAAAGGCAAGGAGTGCGATTACAGACAAGAGACATACATCCACAGGAAAGGAACTTTGTTACTGGTTTCTGTTCACAGCCTGTCTGCATTTCCTCTCCTAACCACCTCTGCTTTTTACTTACTGTGACTGCCTTTTAATTTCAATAAACGTGAATTCATTTGTAGGCTGGGGGGTTGTGACTTGTATCTCAGGGAAAGTTTCTTTTAAAAGGTGCTGTTTGTTCATGTAGCTTTACAACACAGTTTCAAACTTGTTAACTCTTTATGCAAGTTCTCCCCTTTACCCCAAACCATCACTTCTTGAAGTAGGCTTAGAAAACGGCTCCAGCCTCATCTGAGAAATAGTTGTCACTGGAAAGTACTGACTTTGGGAGATGAGGAGGGTCTGATACAGAGCAGTGACTACATTAAAAAAAACAAATGGGAAAAGGAGAATGTGGACAGCAGCTAATAGGGGAAGGGGTGCTCTTGAACTGAGCAGCTCCTTGTTGCCAATAGAGGGAAGATTATTGCTTATCAGAAAGTGGGCTGGAAAGATCCTTTTATTTTTTTAAAAAGCTGAGTGGTGTGTAATTCAAAAGTGAATTCAGCTGTTCTCCTATATGCAGGATGAAGCTGTCCCTGCCTGGCAGAGTTTAAAATACAGGAAAGGTGAAGGGGCCGAGCCATCCCAGTAACTGAAATAACAGCCCTTGCACTATTCCCCTCCTTCCCACTCCTTTACTGATCCAACATTTCTACTTCTTTCTTTAATGATGTTATCATCATATTATTCCATTAAAGATGGGAGAAATTACATGAAGAGTTGGGCAAAAAGCGTCGAGTAGGCCAACAGCTCTGTCGTCGGTTTGTTGTTACCTGTGTGAATTCACGGCCTTCTGGGTCAGTGTCTTGTCTCTGGTTTCCTCCTTCCCTGTCAGCCCAGTGATGGTTCGTGAGGTGCTCTTTTTTGGGGGGCCCATTCCAAGGAACATTTTGACGTACTTTGACAATACGCTTTAGCTTAACCTCCAGTTTTGCTCCCCCAGCTCTAAGGCCCTGCTGCGCCTCCCTCTGTCACCGTCTGCGGTGCTGCGGTGGGCCCTCGGGGGCAGCTGAAGGCGATGCCCGCGCCCTTCGGCACCGTCGGGCGTCGCTTCCCCGAGCTCCAGCAGCGCGGCACCCAGCCCAACCCCAGCCTCCCCGTTAAGGGGGACCGCCTGTGCCGGGAGCTCCGTCCCGCCCGGCCCCGGGCAGCGGCAGGACGCGTCGCCCCGGGGCCGGGCGGG